CAAACAAAAAACACTGATAAAATAGTGTGAGTGCGTGACTTCACCGAAAAAAACAAAGAGTATGCTCTGATAATATATGCATTGTCTTTGAAACTGATTGGTCCACACCAGAGACAGCTTTCTATTTAGTCGAGTCTCAAAACGGTGTTAGACCAGAGGACGCCAAAAGGCGCCTTTTGGCGTCCTCTGATCTAGTTGCTAGTTTTTTGGTACTGGCAAAGGAGGTCCCATGATGTAACGAATTAGAACATTTAAAGCACTAAACACTGCCACCGTGTGACGAAACCCAGCATATGCAATTATGATTATCTACATTCTCACACTTGTTTACCTGGGAGAGCCCGACTCTCGTTACTTACTACTATTCTTTTTCAGAGTTGGGGTAGGGGGGGGATAATGCATATTCCCGCTCAGACATTTTTGTTTCAAATTTGGGCCCCCGATTCCGGAAAATGACCCTACGCTTGCGAATGGAGTCGCGGGTTTATATAACGCCCATTGTGTGAACCGGACGACGCGCAATGCAGAGGTATGGTTTTTACATACGCAGTTATTGACCAGGGCGGCCGCTGTAAATCAAAACCGTGAACCTTTGCCACAATCGGCTGGGCCGTGCCACCAGCTAATTTCACTACGGTACTGTACTGTGCATGGAAATTGTGAATGTTAAAATTGTGCTGATAGTTAATTGAGTTACGGCACTTAGACAAAGCTTCACACTGTTTGTTGAAGAGAAATACAGCACTACACAATGGACGGGTGGATGAATTGCTGAACCGGACCACTACCTACTATTATTTGTAATACAGCAATTCGTTTGGTATATTTGAACAAAATGAGCATCTTCTTTGGTTCTTTCGGTAAAGTCACGTAGAATGAGAATAAAATAATAAATTGATAAAATAAAATAACACAATAATATTCTCACGCTTCTGAACACACGTTTGTCTCCATAATCATTCAATTAGCACTACTTAAGCCGACGCGGGAAAAAACGCGAACGCACATTTGCAACGATCTAGAGCAGTTCTTAACATTCACTACAGCCTTGCACCCCTTTGGTTCTCATCGTTTAAAATCATCCCTGTCAACCCATATGGTTTACCCGTATTCTTGTCGAGGCAAATTGAGTTTTTAGGTCTATACGGCGTACAGCCGTTTCAATAGGAGCAACAACACAATTATCATATGGCCAAATACAAATGTGTATTGTTTAACCCTTCATAATTTTCTGTGTTTATTGTTGTACATTTACAACACGAGTGTGTGCATCTATATATCAAGCAAGCAGCAGCAGCATCCGTATGCAAGTACACAGGCAGTAGCATGATAAGTAGCATCTTTGACACAAATGATACAAATTAATACAAAAGTTTTGTTTCGTGACACAATTTATGTCTATTTGTTCGTGTTTCTGCCTCGATTCCCTTGAGGTTCGTTTGGCGACTTTCCCCCTCCAAGGACGAAGCAAGGAGTTTGTAAAACTCGGGCCGAAATGTGCTCAACCTCGTCACATCTCACAGCACTCGGCAGGGTTGAGCCTGGATATGTGTGGATGCATACCTGTCAATTCGTTATCAGTGCCCTCACCTTATGAAAGACCAATTCAGACCTTGTTGGTCACCCCGTGCCCTAATACAACTCAATGTTCACCCTACAAAGTCCCATCACGAGAGAGAAACAAAGACAAAAACATTATTTGCCCCGTATTGAAACCTCTGTATGCCGTATGGACCTGAAAACTCAATTGCCATGTGTAGTGGTGCTAGTTCACACGGACAACTTATTATTTTTCTACTGCGTCCCTTTATTCCTACAGAACTCTTCGCGTTCAACACCACGTATCTCTGTCGCAAATTCTTTCTCTTGTCCTGCTCGCCCGCTACGCTCCGCTAGCCCGCTCAGTTACACTCTGGTAGCCTTCTAACACTCACACTTAGGATTCCGCTAGCCTCTCTACTGCTAGCCTGTCTCACACTCACACTTAGGATTCCGCTAGCCTCTCTACTGCTAGCCTGTCTCACACTCACACTTAGGATTCCGCTAGCCTCTCTACTGCTAGCCTGCCTACCCTCACTCCTCCAACCTCGCCCTTGCCTCCAGCAGGGGATCAGCCAACGCCGCTGGAGAGGACGAGGTGTGGCGAGCAGGGTCCCAGACTTCTCTTGAATTCTCCCTCGTCTTCACTCCAACCAACTCAACTCTTCTGCCTGACACGTTCTCCTTTTATCCTCCTCCTCATTAAGTGCCCCCAGATGTCCCTCATTAAGCCGTCGTCATCCCGACGCCTCCCCCACGTGTTCTCCCCCACGTGTTCTCGCGCACGTGTTCTCCCCCACGTGTTCTCGCGCACGTGTTCTCCCCCACGTGTTCTCCCCCACGTGTTCACGCGCACGTGTTCTCCCCCACGTGTTCTCCCCCTTATCGCCACTATCTCTCGCCTCCCTGGCGCCTACTCCGCGTTGGCATTTGCAGCCAGCCAATCGCCGCTATGCATCTTAATTGTTCGCATCTCTCTGGTTGCTCTCCCTCTGTGCACCTGTTCGCCCTGACGTGGCCTCACTGTCCGCAGCTCACACGTGCGTGCACACTGTTTGCAACTCCCCCCCACCTCAACGCGCGCGTTACTCTACTACGCATGTGTGGAGTCGTAAATAATGACGTTACGTCACGCCCACCCTCCGGTGCAGTGACGTCATGCACGGCGGGCGGGACGGTGACGTCATGTCCCCCTGGGGTATTTAGGTTGGGACCAGTGACGTGTTCCAGGTCGTCGCGAGGAGCCAGGAACGGGTGAAGTTGGAAGTCGGGGCCCAGGGTAGGGGGAAATTAGCACCAGGCTAGGGTAGCCTGTGGGTGTGCTAGGGACCCCCCCAGTACCCTTCCCCTGGGGGAGCGATGGGACCCAGGGTAAGGGGAAATTGGCACCAGGCTAGGGTAGCCTGTGGGTGTGCTAGGGACCTCCCCAGTACCCTTCCCCCGGGGGAGCGATGGGACCCAGGGTAGGGGGAAATTAGCACCAGGCTATGGTTACCTGTGGGTGTGCTAGGGACCTCCCCAGTACCCTTCCCCTGGGGGAGCGATGGGACCCCGGGGTAGGGGGAAATTAGCACCAGGCTAGGGTAGCCTGTGGGTGTGCTAGGGACCTCCCCAGTACCCTTCCCCTGGGGGAGCGATGGGACCCCGGGGTAGGGGGAAATTAGCACCAGGCAAGGGTAGCCTGTGGGTGTGCTAGGGACCTCCCCAGTACCCTTCCCCTGGGGGAGCGATGGGACCCCGGGGTAGGGGGAAATTAGCACCAGGCTAGGGTAGCCTGTGGGTGTGCTAGGGACCTCCCCAGTACCCTTCCCCCGGGGGAACGATGGGACCCCGGGGTAGGGGGAAATTAGCACCAGGCTAGGGTAGCCTGTGGGTGTGCTAGGGAATCCCCATTACCTTTCCCCTGGGGTGTGGAGTGTAGGCAGTGAGTGTGCAGTACACAGAGTCGTGTGTGAATAAAAGTCTTTAATAAAACAACTGGCGCAAGCCCATACATGAAGATCTCCCTCCGAGTCATAATTTACGCCTCAACACATGTACAACATTTCTGGGTATAAACCATTTGGGTTGACAGCTCCGTGGATGGGCCTCCACCGTGCACATGTTAGATGCACGTGGAGTTAATAATGTCTCGTCACCGCGAGACGTTAACTCACTCGCCTGGTCTGCAGGAGGTCGTGGGTTCGATCCAGACCCTCGGGTCTGCTGTATTTCAGTTTTAGTTTATGTTGGTATAGCCCTGTGAGCCATTCGGCTCTTGAATCGGGTGCAACCACAATAAGAAAAAAACACGAACAAGATAAACATCTTAAAGTGAATATGTGACTGTGCAAACAGAAAATCCATGAAAAAAACCAGCAAAATATTCCTGAAAAAAGCACCGTACACCAACGCTGTGTGCAAAAAATCCCAGTGGGATGCAAGTCAAACAACAACAAAAACCACAAGAAAACTTAGATTAAGGCTATCAGTCTAACTCCGTACTACAACAAAACAAACATGACCAAACCAAAAAACGTTTTCGAAATCATCAAAAAATAAAGCCATAATTGCAACGTAACAATATATTTGGAGTTTGCGGTGTCTGTCTCTCTCGCTGTCTCTCCCCCCGGGGTTTTCACTCCACATTTGGAATCAACATCACGCGAATTCAGAGTATTTGGTTGATATACATTTCCACGTGATGACGATAAGTCCACTTCGTTGAGCTCATCATTTGTGGCCAGGTCACTTCTCAGTTGGTCTCACCTGGGTAAAATAAAAAATAAAATAGTTTAGTGATACTGCTTATCGTATATAGACTGCTGGGCTATCAGTAGGGGGCAGCAGAATCAATTGTTACTCGAGAGAGAGACACAGAGACAAACACCACTCTCTCTGTCTCTGTGTGAGTCTCTCTCTGCTTGTGTGTCTGTCTGTATGTCTCCGTGTCTGTGTTTTGTCTCTCTCTCTGAAATTTAGCAGTCTTTGGAAGAATGTGAATCAACCAGGTGGGGTGTTGACTGTTGTGTTAGCCGACTCTCTGTGTTGTATTGCATTATATGTCCAAGTTTACTAGCTTTGTTTTCTCATTCATTTGTACCTGATGATGGTTGCTTGTGTTGCAATTGAAACGTCGTATTCTATTATTTAATTTATTTCAACGTGACTTTACCAAAAGAACCAATATATATATTAATTACTACTTATAGAGAGGGGGGGAAACCTCTAATTTGGCAAGAAGGAATTACAATTTACGAATCAGTACTCTGACGGGAAGCGACATTTTCTAAACAAACGTTAAAGCGTTGGGTTTTTAAATTAAATAACAACTTTTTTACGCGTCGTGTAAAGTAACGGTATAAAAGCAGTTTTCCTCCTAAAAAAAATGTTTATTATTATAATTATTCTGTGTATATACATACCGAATGTTGTATACCTACTTTGCATAATCCGCGAATCTGCGAACGCGAATCGGGAAGGGATCTCTGGCGGCCGGATCACGTGGAGCGCACGTGGAGTGGAGGGCCGCGTCCTCGTCGAGACAACGTGAACGCAGCTGCCGAAGCGCATCGCGTCTCTGTTCACGACGACGTCGTCGTTCGTTTTACATACAGGTACAGGCGAACATTGAGACGCACGAGTCCACGACTCTATGCGTGGTTCCCCCCCTCAATGTGTCGGCGTCGTTCGTGCCGCACTGTACGTACTGTACGTACAGTGCCTGCGCGTCTTGCCAAGGGCCTGAGTGTACAGCGCTCTGTGTATATTTTTTATTGAGGTAAACAATGATGTAACGTATTAAACATACAGTCATTATTGTACATAATAAAGCCCGTAACATTCCTACTTTTTCAGTGTTGCCTTACTCTTACGTTCCATGTTTATGATCCTGGCTACGTATTACAGTGTGTAACAAAAAAAAATGTTCCTGGGTAGTAAGTGTTATTTCCTAATTACTTATGCCTCAAAAGTACAGAAAATGGCTATTATTCCTCACAAACTTTGCTTTTGTGACCAGGACAGTGATATTTTGAAATTGACCTATTTTCAATGAGAAAACGTGGTGTGCATTTGTGTCGTTCCTTCACATAAAAGGCCTGGTCACAAAAGCAAAGTTTGTGGGGATTAATAGCCATTTTCTATACTTTTTAGGCATAAACATTTTAAAAATAACACTTAGTACCTAGGAACAAAAATTGTGTTACATAGTGTTATCATCGGTAGCGAGTTATGACCCCCCACCCCTATATTATGGATAACTGAATCTGTCCAAAATTAGCCCCAGGCTCGGTGAAATATGGTCACAAAATCATTCCCATGAAGGACACGGTCAAGCATTGTGTCGTCGACCCCAGTGAGCATGTTGGTTGCTGTAGACCCAAGTAAATTGTTAGTGAGTTTTAAGATTCGCCGAGGGAAATGTTGAAACGTTCGGTTTCTGGTTGTTGCGTTAACTCTCATGCATCATGACAACTCTGTTGGGCTGCTATGATTTATAGGCACGATTAAATTGCATACAGTATATTAATTTTAACACATTTGGGGACTCCGTATGAATCCTAAAATGGCATTGCACAAACGAGTGTGCTTTTTACAAATCGTGCTTTAGGTGGTTTCGTACAGTACCTTACGAAATGTAAACTGTTTCGAAAGCTCAAGAGGGGAGAACACAAACCTTGCACCGTTGTAGTCCATACGTTAGAGCAGAAATTTATGCCACCTGAGGGTTGTGAAACGTTAGTCGTAGCGGTCTCTGGCCAAGAAATGTAAATTAGAACATAACCTTTTATTTTGTTTTAACTTATTCCAACAACAGATTTTTAACGAAAAGTGTTTTAATTATTGCTTTAGCAGATGCTATTTTGTTTATCCGAAGGTCGCGTATAGATGGGGTAAAATGTGGGTACTCAAACCTCTTCCGAGACGTCTGCCCAGCATGGAACAGTATGCGAAAAGACCCTCTTGAGCCCCTTCTCGTGAAGGCTCTTCCGCCAGCAGTGGCGTGACCAATAAACTAGAGGGCTTTGCCTCTTAACTATTTGTCCCGAGGTCTCTTACAAAGGAGATGTGTTAGGCGATACCTTGTATGAATTCGGCATACTCAATTGCCATAGGCTGCCTTTAAACAAGGCCTGCATATGTGATGCATTTACAAAGTTAACGTTATGAAAAGTATTCCAAGAAACGGTCAGTCTTGTGTTTTCGGCGTTTTCACAAACAACTAATTAAATATAGTTGCGTTGTTGCTGCCTTGCAGCAGATGAATAAAAATGTTTTGCAAAAACTGGTAGGATAAATAACATTGTGACATGAGATCATGCTCTGGTTTGTCAGATGTGTAACAAAACTAAAACTGGATTGTTTTTGTGTCTATTTTCATAGGGAAACCGGCAGTCAAGAATCCAGACTAATATTTTAGTTGCAAGTAAAAGATTGCAAACATGCCAATGAAGGGAGACTTAATCTCTCAAGATGCACGCTTTAAAAAGGTCAGCAGGGACCCACGCTTTTGGGAAATGCCAGAGAAGGAAAGAAAAATTCAAATTGACAAACGTTTCCAGGGTATGTTTAATGAAAAACGCTTTAAACTTAAATACACGGTGGACAAACGTGGTAGGCCCATCCAGCACACGAGTAAGGAGGACCTCAAAAGGTTTTACCAGCTCTCCGATTCTGATGATAATGCCTCTGATTCTGAAAATACCAAGGAAGCCAAAACAAAACAAACTACAAAAGACGAAAACTCTGAAAGCGACGATGGTGATGAAGAAACATCTGAGAAAAAGAGTTCTATTAAAAATAAAAAGAACCTCATGAAGACACAACGAGCAAAAGAAAAGGCGTTGATATCTTCCCAAAAAACTGAGCATACTGGACAATTGTCAAGTACCACTTTTGGAAATGCAGATGTGAAGACAAACCAGACGCAGTCGGCAATTGAAAAGGCAAAAAAAATAATTGTGAAGGAGGTGAAATCTAACAAAAAGGGTGATATTTCAGGTACTGTTACTTAATCATACATCTATATAGCACTTTTAAAAAAACTATAAATTTGTGTTCAAATAATTGTCGAATACGCAGTTATCTATGTTGTGTATTGTACATTTTAAACTGTAACCTTGTTTTTGTAAACAATGTTAATTTGTAAATACAAATAAGCTTTGAGTTTAAATGTCCATTTGTTAAGAACATTTATTATATTTCATCGCAGAATTGGAAGACGAATCTGAAAAGTTTGAGGATGCCGAATTTCATCGTGGTAGTGCGGAAGAAAATGATGACAAAGATGCAGTGACATCACGCGTGTCAAAGAAGGGTACACAAGTCGATTCTGCTGATGATGATGACGACGATGATGATGACGACGACGATGATAGTGAACCAGACATAGCTCGCGGTGTTGGAAATATGGAATCAAGTTCAGATGAGGAGGATTTTGAAGAGATGTTAAATGAAGAACCAGAGATGCTGGTAGAACATGCATGGGGAGAGATTGGTGAAGATGCACCACGTGCAGATAATGTAAGTACTCTGCATAGTTGGCCTTTATATGTATACATCTTGTTGCATGGAACCCCAGGACTTAAAAGACAATTTAAATAGCATTTGCTTTAAATATTTACAACATACTGCTCTAATTGTCCATGCAAAATTGTCTACATAGAATAATTATGTGTCTATTTTGTAATACTTTGTAAAAAAAAGTATTTCGTAACATTTAATTTTAGGAAAACTGCTAACATTTGTTTTGGCATAAATATGTAATAACATCCTTGTGAAACCCTTTGGCGTGTCTGCACTTGCGTGTGTTGTAGGTCACACGACGTTTGGCCGTCTGTAATATTGACTGGGATAGAATCAAGGCCAAAGATCTGCTGGTTCTGTTCGACTCTTTCAAGCCCAAATGTGGTGTTGTCATGTCTGTCAAGGTATTGGAAATAGTTAAAGGAAGCCATTTTCCCATTATTTGAATTCCACGCAGCCTTGTATGAAATTATGTAATATACATATTAAGTTTAGCATACTTAATCCCCATATGTGGTTTGTTGCTTTTAATATGGTTTTTAAATTGTATTCAATTTTGGAATAAAGCTTTACATAATAGAAGGCTAAACAAGGCCCCAGCATCAAAGTGTGCGGGCCTTTCAAGATGTGAACATACAGGTGTTTCCTATAAATATTTTATTTGGCTGGTTGATGTTAGTACAGCACAGATAAAATATATTTGCTGCATAGCTTTGGTTTGAATTTTTGTTGGTACATTCTTTAAACGTACTTATTTATGAAACATCCACGCACGTGCACACTAAGAATATAGCAAGATAAACATTTATTGAAATAGCTGCGGTGTTATTTTGAAAACTGTCAATAGTGGACCCATTAAATGGGATATATGCCTGTTGGTGTTATATTGTAATTTTAATAGCATGTTACTGTTCATCTATTTAAACTCTAATGCCATGTGACAACACCATATGTTTTCAATTGACGGATAATATGGGGTGATACATTTATAAATATTCCACTAAAATTAAAAGAAGCTATACATTTCCAAAATTAATTAAAAGCCTCAACAACATTTTATTTGCCACATATCTCATTATACTTATAATCATTTTGACACTCTGCAAGATGTGGAGCCATTGCCTTCACAACATTCAATCAAATATTGAGAAAAAATACTCGGGGTCATTGGTAATGAACAGGGCGGCATCTGTACATGGAATGTCATATACATTTTATCAAAATAAATCTATGTAGCGTCCGCCAGTTCGATTCAATCTTCACAGTCGAAACAATGGGCATGGTTCTTAAATCGCAGGTCCCTGCCACTTCCAACCAACTCAGCAGTATACATGGATACACCACAATCGATCCAAAGGTCACATGTAGTGAAGTGACCTTTTACAATGTGTCTGACCAGTACGGAAGAGTAGACCAGAATTAGAATCTTCATACTGAAGAAATCCGATGAGCTATAAAGCATTTTTTTTCTGCCACATGTCCGGTCGACCTCTAGAATTCCCTCTAGTATAGGCCTTTCTGCCAGCAATGGCATACACAAGCAATTGCAGAGCTGCACATTCACCTTTCACTCGTGTAACATAAATAAATACAAACTTTACATCGACATCCTCACAATCTCCACTTTGGGTGCTGAAGTATGTATTTTAAGATGTGGATTTTTGGATAAATCTAAAGTAAAATCAAGAAATATGACAAAACATACTGTGATGTCAGATCTACCCATCAGAGTATGGCAAGGAGCGCATGGAGCACGAGAAGCTACATGGGCCTGCTGAGCTGGCAGATAACACACTGCCAGATGACATCCAAGACTCCCAGCTCAATGCCAAGGATGAGTAAGTGCCCTGTTGTTTTCCTAGGTCAAGGCTGGAGATTAACAGTGGATTGTTTACGTGATTACCGATCTCCCAGTGTCCATATACTCTGGTTTTGTGCTGTTTTTGTTAAAACATGATTCAAATATTTTAAATGAAAGGTCAAGTAAATGCTAGTGTGTCATGCTTGAGTTGAAAATTGCTTTATGGAGATAATCCACCAAACTACAAAGCCATCACATCCTTTTTTTAAATGTCTGGAATTAAAATGCATCTTGTGTATTATTTCAAACGATACTTTTACATTACTTTTCATAAAATGAACTGTCGTTCTTTGAAACAAATCTTTTTTTTTACAGAGTTTTCCAAGAAAAATTGCGCAAGTACCAGTTTAACAGACTGAAGTATTTTTACGCTGTGGTTCAGTGCGATTCACCAGAAACTGCCAATGCCATTTATGAAGGCTGTGATCGAATGGAATACGAAGCCAGTTCTTCCTTCATTGATCTCAGGTAAGTAGATACTAAAGCATAAATCTTCATAATTATCATATTGATCAGATATTTCCTATCGACTGCTGGAGGAAGGCCTCTCCCACGTTTCCCACAGTCCCCACCCTGACGCTGTAATGGGGTGACTTCAGTGTATATTGTAGGAAAACAGAACAGTATTTAGGAGTTCATAACTAAATTTGGCATCGGAGTGAGGAATGAAGGAGAAGAATGTCTAGATAGCTTGCATGCTTCCAGTGCTTGAAGATATTGAACAGTCGTTTCAATAGTGAGTACACAATGTACATGGACGACTGAAAATGGAGATATTGCAAAATGCAATTTACGGTACTTATTTGGAATTAAATGTTTTTACTTAGAAGCTCTTGAGATAAACACATGTGAATGTTCTCCGTGCGCTCTGATTTCCTCTCAAGTGTAAACATTGAGTCTATTTCGATTTAAAGCTTTCGTGACTGCAGGGATTCATCTGCTGGGTTCTTTCGGTAAAGTCACGTAGAATGGAGGTCTAATCCCGGAGTTTGTTGAAGGATCTCAAGGTTATGTGGAATCACTCCCCATAGAGGCGGTTAAATTTCGATTTTAAATCGGTTAAATTTCGATTTTAAATCGTGACTTTACCGAAAGAACCCAGAAGATTGATTCTATTATCAGACCACAAGCATTGTGGTTAATGCAGACATGATTCCTTGTAAAAGTTTTCAGTTTGGTGTTTTCACATCTTAACACCTGTTTTGTTGCCATAAAAAAGGGGAAAAACCTATTATCATTGATTAATTGACTTAAACGTCTAGGAAATTGTTGGAAGTACGGGCTCACTGCCTGTCATGACCCGAGTGGGAATTGCTAATTTTTAGGATTAACTAAGTAACCAGGTGGTGGCGGCATGAACCAGAGAAACGAGTTTTTACCAAGGTAAACTTTTTTCGATTGGTGTTAACGATCATACGTGTATAATTGTCATGCATATTACTATGTAGGTTTTTACAGTTGCATATAATAGAATCGAGGAATATTGTGAGCTGTGCCCTATTCAGTTCATAAAGAAGCTGCCAGCTATTGGAACGAAATGTTGGGCATTGTGCCAAACAGCATGCGTCACACAACACGAAAGCACATGGGAGAGCTATCATTGTCATTGATGTTTTCCCCTCCATTGCTCTGTAGGTTTATACCTGATGGCATGACCTTTGATGATGAGCCAGCGGACTCGGCTATTGAAGTGGATTCAGAGTCATACAAACCTAAGCACTTTACTTCAGCTGCTCTTGGAATGTCAAAGGTGACAGCTGCACAAGAGTCTGGTGGAGTGTGTGATCGTTGTTTGTAACTGTTCACAGCGCGAGACTGATTTCCTAGCTTTACTTTCGCACATTGTGGCTTTTCTTGGTGATAACTAGCACAACAATTATGAGTTGCAAGTTTTGTTTTATTTATTGCTCTTGAAATGCGGAAAGTCCTTATTTAACGGAGTAGATGTGTTCCTGAAAAGTTATGCGTAGAGCGACAAATGCGTTAAGCGAAAACTATTTCCCCATAAATAATGTAACGATAAAGTTTGGCGAGATATGATGTGTACACATTAAGATGGCATACTGTATCACACTGATCAGCCGCACAGCTCAAGAAAGTGGATCATCGTCGCGACCTCAGAAGCCGCGTTATTGTAGGAGCATTCCACGTTATAACGGGACATTCTGCGTTGATTAAAAAGTGTTTCCCTAATGGAAGAAGCACGTTGTGGAAAAAAATGCCTTGTGTAAACACTCGTTGAGCGAGGACTTTTACTTGCATTATTATCACTGAGTAAGTGGAATGATAATCATTGCCCCAAAAAATATCACCTATTGTGTTTTTTTCTTCCTATTGCAGTGTTGTTAATTGAATGTGAGTTTTTGCTATTTGTGCTTGCACACTATGGCCAATGCAACATCAAACATTGTTTCATAGTAAAATAGGATTTTCATCTATCACACGTAAATGTTGAAGAGGTCATTGAAGTGCTTTTAATAACCGTAATTCTTTTGTAGACTCGTCAGCCTAGAACAAAACAAACAGTACTGAAACACATGGTAGTCCGCTTCCTCTGCACGTTATAAAACCACAATTGTATTTTTTGTCTAGGTGGAGTTGACATGGGAAGAAACAGATCATGAACGGGTCCAAACGCTCATGAAAAGAGATTTCACAAAAGACGAAATATTGGAAATGGATGTTAAAGCATACCTAGCATCCTCCAGTGAGGATGATGATGAGGAACCAAGTAAGATACTTTCTGCTAAACCATTGTGCTTTGCCCATACAGGGCAATTGGTAACAACGGCAGTACTGATGATAATGGGCTTCCTGCATAACGGATATTCAACAATATTGTGGTCAATTATCGTTTGCTTATATAACTGTTGTATTAATTGTGACACACTCCCGTTATTATTAAGTCGAGCAGTGTGCGGAGATGAAAGCGGAAAGAGAGCTTGCTATAACCTGCAGTGCGGTGGTTGGGCAGAATTTGGATGAGACAAAACTGATAGAGATTCTATGCATTTTCTAAAGTTTTCTGTGCTCGAAGAGTTTTTTTATTGGGAGTAATGCATATATTGCAACAACGATTGGCTTCATGTTGCTTGTAACTTTTTTTTTAATACCAAACGGAAATGTGCCATGAAACCAAAATCACTTAATGTTTTTTTTCATCGTTATTTTTCCTCAGATGATTTTATTCAGGAGCCTCAACGGGACATCGGTGAAGAGGAAGTCACGCAGTTGCATGCGAAGCCATCCGGATCGGAATCTATGCCCCTGAAAAAAAATAAAAAAGTTAGCGAGGAGGAAATGATTAACAAATACAGGGAGCTGCTTAAGGGCATTGACGAGGAAAAAACGGAAGAAAGGGACATGGAGATGGAGATAACCTGGGTTCCAGGTAAAATGTTACTTTTATGACGTGGTACCAATTTTCGAGACTTAATTTAGAATTTGTAAATGTCGTCGCCAAATACTTTTAACAAGTTTTTTTGGGTGGTTTTACAAGCCTTTCCAAATCGCATGATAAAATCACAGTTTGTGGTAATGGGAGGTAAAGGTAGAACCCTGAATTTACTCGCTCATGCCACAGCTGGTAGAAGGGGCTCCAAATAAAGAGTTCCTCTAAAGGTTTTTTTTTGGCCTGCTCTTCCCCACTGGCCAGACTTATTGGAAGAGGTGGAAGTACAGTAAAACCTTGGTTTGCGAGCATAATTCGTTCCGGAAACGTGTTTGTAATCCAAAGCACTCGTATATCAAAGCACTCGTATATCAGTTGTGATCACGTGATGCTCGGCAGACAAAGCGCATACGTACACTACTCGTATTTCAAGACGTCGCTCGTTTATCAAATTAATATTTATTTTAAAAAAAAATTGCTCGTCTTGCAAAACACTCGCAGACCAAGTTACCCACAATCCAAGGTTTTACTGTACCTGGAATTTACTCCACCTGCCGATCGACTAGTCATGGTTATACCCATTTATACTGCTGAGTGGACAAAGGTGGTTTAAATTTGCAAGTTTAAGTTGCGCTAACACCAAGGAAGCATATTTTATCAGAAATAATAACTTTATGAAACTTGACAGTCTTTTGTCAATTCTCTGGTAGATGGAGTCCTACCCATGCTTTGTCATTCATCGGAGTTGTTTGAGTGCGAGTTAGCCGTGACCAGGGATATAACTTAGGTCTCCAGGATTATTGTGCAGGGCACTATAACCGCTGCACTACTGCTACCACATTACGAAAATTAGATTTAAATATTCTATTCTGGATTCTATTTTTAGATTACGTGCAACTATCTTTTAATCCATTAGAACAAAAATTCACCACTTGAACAATCTCTGACATTTCCAGCAATTCATCATCATTGTCGTCAGCCATTAATGCATTGCTGGATTAGAGGCCTCCTACCTGAATCTTCGCCTGTATGGCAAGTCATTTTGATAATTAGCTTACTCTTGCAGTATTACTAGTTGTTCACAAGGGGGTGCAGTTGATGTGAACAATATTGACTTTTAAAATACTTAGAAACTATTGTGGTCGTCCCGCAATATTTCACAAGTGGTAGTTGCGTAATAAATTGTCATTTCTATATTTTGTGGCTGCGTCCACATGAGCACTGTTAGCGTTGAAAGCACGAATGGAAGAACTTGTGTCCTTTGTTAATGCCACATTTAAAGAGTCGTGGGGTAATCTTAGAACATTCTTTATCATGCTGATCAGTGTGGCTTGGTGAAATGAGGGGTGGAGCCCAGAACCTTGTTCAGATATTGCTCACCACTGATATTAGCTGTGGCCAGAAATTAAACGCAAGTCACCAGTTTTCTTAGTGCAGTGCGCTAACCACTGTGCCACTGGTCCCCCCCCGCAACATTTATGCTAGATTGTTTTACCTTAAATGTTGCAAATCAAAGTGTCCATTTAAAACCCTGCTGGTATGCTGTTTGTTTTCTGCTCTCAGAACATTGCATGGAACCTACTAATTCTGCCTTTTATTTGAATAGAAAAACAAGAGGTTTACATCTTCCATGATTATTGCAGGATTTATTTTGGTCTCATGAGGTTAATGTTTGCATTTTAATAGCAATTCGGAATTTTAAATGTTTGGATACGATAGTGTTTCCCCTGTAAGGGCGTAAAAGCGCACTGCTCTCCATGTGATATTGTTAAATATTAGGAAGCTGCCTTCAACTACAACCTCAAAAAATACTAGGGGTGTTGTTAGCAGGGCCTTGGAAATGAGTGCATTGTAAAGAGAGCAATCAACTGCACCAGTCATTCACTGCTGGTAAGTAAATTACTTTTTGAGGCTTGAAAGGAATTGTGCAGCCTGTGTGAATTAACAGGGCATGTGCCACAGTGTTTACACATTACGTAAGTCCTCTGAGAAGAGCCAGTGTCCTTTGAACTTTGTAAACATTAATGAGTTCATTAAGGCTGCTTGGACCAATGCGAATATTTTTGAACTTTTGGGTATTATGCGTTGTATGCTTATTAAGCTTTTCTGATTTTTGCAAGTAATCATTTTGATAACGTGCGATTTTATTTTTTTTTGGAAAAAAAATGCAATCCTAGCTTCATTTTTATAACGTTGCAGCCGATCGTCTGGTGCTGCTGCGGCTTGCATACATTAATATTTGATATACAACATTCTTCATATTAACGTAGGTCTCAAGGAAACGGCGGAAGAGATGGTGAAGAAGAAGCTGGAAGGCAAGGATTCTTTGACCCCTTGGGAGCAGTATCTGGAAAAGCGTAAGGAGAAGAAAAGGCAGAAACGAGAGGAGAAGAAGAAACATAAGGACGTGCAGGTGAACATTTATAATGATGCCGAGCATCATGTAATGTTTAAAATGTACACATTTTCATAATTATTCCGATGGCTAAAATATTATCACACCCTTTATTTTGCATCAATCAATTATTAAGAATTTTATGACCTTGAATTCCTCATTCATGACCTGGACCATGTGTTGTGTGTACTTATTGCATTGTGGTTCACCTTCACTGGGAATGAAGGAATCGCAGCAACATTCTCCCATTGCTTTACACAATAACACATCCCGTGCTTTTTTTTTTCCTCCTGAAGTTTTTCTCTTCCTCCTTACCGAATAACACTCAGATTATGTCCCATCCACTGTCGCAATCGTTCTTTAGAATTTGGAGCATGCCATTTCCCTTCCGAATTTCAAACTGTCCCTCTGTTGAAATCTTATAAACCAATGGGCCTTTATTGGATACAATTGGCTATTTGTTACATCCTCTGTCTGCCTAGTTTTTATACGTTGATAGTATTTCTAGATTTGTAATGCACATACTCACGATTTACGTCACCCACACGTGATGCTTAACTGCCACTTCTCTGCATTGATGTAATGATTATTTGTATGTTTTAGACATACATTAAAAGAAAATTGTGTTTGTATACAACTGCAAACGTTTTCCCGGTCATTGCTGGATCTGTTCTCGGGGTGTTTCCGTGTGTCGTGATGCTCGACATTTCACTCCACGTGCTCGGAGCGTTTTCAGGAACCGAGTTGAGTAGTTCCCAATCGAGGGAGAACGTGAGCTCATTATAGTTCGTGAAGAAGCTTCCAGCATGCGGAGCGAAAGGATGCAGAACAACACCAAGTATAACCAGAGGATGCATAAGAGTGCTGTATTGGACCGTGTTTGGATTGGACATTTTGCTCTTGATACGATTGTGGCTTCCCCATTTAATTGTATCCAGACCCAGGATTTGGTGAGTGATGAGGACCTCCCTCCAGATGTAGACCTCAGTGATGAATTTCATCGAGAGGAACTCCAAGGAACAGGTATGATTTAGTTTTACCTAGATGCACTTCGCGTGACCGATTATGAAAAACTTGATAAAATGTTTCCTAACAAGAATAGTAGAATTGAATAAAATGCTGAACGAAGTGAACTACTCAGATGTTAATTTATCCGGCATTTTTTCCATGAAATTTGTGGGCACAAATAAACTTTTGGCACATTAGATTAGAAGGATGTGTAGTTTTGTAAATCTAGAGTTATGGAAGAAGTACATTTCATAGGCTGAGGTGAAAATATTCGACTTTAATTTAATATTTTGCAGTATTTTTTTCATGAAAACCGGGTTATTATTGTAATGATCTGCTTTGAACTTTTAGAAGCATCAAAGAAGGGAAAGAAAAAGAAGACAAAGGGCAAAAAGGAACAAGCATTGACGTCAGAAGAAACTGTTGAAAGAGTTCAACAGGAGGTACATTCAGATGAGTTTCTGTCTTTGATTTTATTCATATATGTGGGATTTTCTGCCCGGTGGAATTTGGACTTGAATTTTCGTCATGAAACGAAATCCAAAACTCTGTATGGAACATATTCTTTGTGGATTTGTTATGCTATGCATACACATTGTGTGGATTTCCTGAAATATATTCATGCATGCCTTCTGTTTATTCACAATGTTTTCATTATTTCTCTAAAGCTTGACTTTTATTCCATGCAACCTCTTGAAGGAGCAATAGTTATTGAAAAACTATTCGATATATAGTCATTCTGTAACTGTCAAGTATTATTATGAATGCTAAATTATCATTCATAGTATCAGAATAATGATATTGTACAAACCAGTTATAAATACTGTGGTGGCAGTGGTTAGCACACTGCACTAATGAACCGGGCAAACTGAATCTGATTCCTGGCCCCAGATAACATCAGTGACGAGTGATATTTTAATCGATTCTGGGACACTTGCTTCTTAACCAACTCCACATGAACCTGCGTGGTTGAAGTATGGTAAAACAACCCCCATGACTCCGATACGGTGTGAGACAGCTTTCGTATTGTAATATAGTGCATATAGACGGCATGTAATGATGCACAAATTAAATATCGAATTGTGTATTCAAGAATCGGTTATTGAAACTTTGTAAACATTGCATGTAATTGGTTCGCGTGACTCTTGCAGCCAAGACAGGTGTTATGACGTAAATGGTAGAAAGCAGCTTTAAATGAGTTTTTTTTATATATATGCGTCTCCAAGAATGTTATGCCTGCTATATGTTTGTCATTTCTGATCCGTGTTTATACTTGGGTATTTGTGCGTACTGCATATGCAGGCTGAACTGGCTCTGCTCATGATGGATGATGAGGAGGAGGATAAGAAACACTTCAACTATGATAACATTGTTGATCAACAAAACCTGAGCAAGCGTAAGAAGAAGAAGATGCTGAAGAAAAAAGAAGTGATTGAAGAAGATACTTTTCAGGTGAGTCTCGTTTCATATTAGATTAAGATTTTTTTTTCTTGTGCTTTTGACAATATGAAGTCACAATGTGTGATTTGAATTTTTTTTTAAATGACTATTCAGGTATTTACTTTACATAATCACTCTATTTGGGTGGATACTGCTGGACTTAGATTATCCTAGATCATTGGCTTATGGATGATATAAACTTAAGGTTGTTATAACTACCACTTTGCAGGAGTCAGAGAATATTAACTTACATTTTTATCTTAAAAATCCAACAATAAATAAAGTCGCCTGTTTTGGTCTTTTTAGGGCAGTGTTTTTCACAAATGTGTCGAGTTTTTTTTGTCATTTGCACTCATTGCACCACTGTCAATGCGTTGTCACAATTTTGTATTGTTTACTTTTAATTAATTTCCCACTTCTGACCTCATCCTCCCAAGGTTGATGTGGAAGACCCAAGGTTCAGTGCAGTCTACACTTCCCACTTGTTTAACATCGACCCGTCGGACTCCAGTTTTCGGAAAACTAAAGGCACAGAGGCACTGTTAATGGAGAAAGGACGCAAGCGGCGTCTCCAGGAAAAAGAGAAACTAAGTGGCCTCCAGCACCAATCTCCAGAAGTGGAGGCACTGGCAGCAAAGGGCCTTGATGAGAGAAAGGGAGTTGATCCTGCCCTTTCATTGCTCATAAAATCCGTGAAAAGTAAGACGGAACAGTTTCATGCCAGCAAAAAGAAGAAGATGTAAAGACCGTCGCGATTGCATACTTAGCTCGTAAAAACGAGGCATATAATTAAACAAAACATGGAAAACGATAAACAAATCCGATACATTTAAACATTTGCAAGTTATATTCTTGGTTCTTTCAGTAAAGTCACGTAGAAGGGAAACAAAACAATAAAAAATATAAAACAATAAAATTCTCACGACGTTTCGACTGCAACACAAGCAATCATCATCAGGTGTGAAAACCACAGCAAGAAAATTTGAAAGTTATTGTTGGGTTTACATACCAAGTATTTTTTCAAAGCTGTGCATCTTAAAGCAGTAAAAAATGTAGTTTGATTTGTCTTGTAAAAATGTATAAAGATGCTGTATACAAATACAAGGAGATTCATTTGGGGGCAGGATAAATATTACATTTACATGCAAAAAAGGTAACAATTTTTATGTTAAATCGTATAATAAACAGAAAATATCAAAATTGCAGCGTTTCTCTTATTTCCAAATGCTGATTCAAATTATTCCACAATCCGTGAAGGTTGGTTGATCGTTTGCAAATGCCCCCCCCCCACCCTTTATAATTCACTCGTGCAATTCATGGTTTTGCAGACATCTTCCCATTGGAACTTTGCCAAGATGTACAGATGCCCTTTTAGATTTATCTTTTTATTTTGTAGAGGTGCCTGGGAGTGTTTACCGATGCAGCGTTCTCCATTGCTCGAGATCAGTGGGAGGTTTTTGCTGTGTGGGAGGAAACTTGGGCAACAGATGCGCAACTTCAATCCGAAATGCAAGTCTTTTATGTCGACGGAAACCATTCAATCGACACGCCTGATGGCGGAGCACATCAATGTGCATTAAATTCATTGTCAAAACCTATGAAAAACACACTTGATTTTGTTTTAGTGATGTCGATGTGTGTGTGCAAAAGAGAGCAAAAGCTCTTGCAAATGTTATATTCGGTCAGGTACATGCATATTATATGAATGGGAGGAGGTGGAAATCTTTTGTAGAATAAGGGTTAAGTATAAGGAAATAAAAATCAATTTAAATATTTTACGTATTGATAAAAATGACCGGTTGCTGAGACAGGTGCAATACTCCCAAGTCCTCGGCAATAAACATGCATTGGACGACTGACAAGGAAAATGCTAGTATGTGATACATGCTCAATTGTTGATGATACTTTCATTTTTCATGATGGGTGTAAATTTTTAAATCCCACATTAAATTGAGAGTTTTCTGCAACAGCTGCAGGATCTCTCCGAAGCAAGCAGTGACGAGGTGTGGCATTGTTGCCATCGTCTGTGACAGTCACTTAATCCTTGATGTCATTGCTGGATAATATCGTTGCAGCATCGACGAATGTGCAGTCAACATTTTAAGATCGTTACATTGACACCTATATGCAAGAATGGAAGGAGTAAAATATCGTGATTTTTTTCGTAAAAAATGTGCACTGCTTCCTATGAATGATCTACAGTGCAATGCAACATTGCATTGCGAAACTAATTTTCACTCGGTGTTCGCAAAGATGACCTGCTCAAACAAAGTCAAACATTCCTGCCTCATCCAGTAACCTATCTGTGCATGGTGATGTAACTGTCATTTTCTATCGATGTTCACACGCCCAATGTGTTCACATATCCGTCTCGAGTCTCTCGACCTCATTTCCCAGCGGGTCTCATATTCGACGTTGTACTGGAAGGCCACAGCCTACATTCCTGGGGGCGAAATGGACCTGAGAAATGTCAAGTCGTCACGCGTTGGTGAGGGCAGCAGCTTAAAGGTTTTGGTGGATGTCACCACATATATACACAATTACTTGTACAGAGCCTGCAACGATGGTTTGAGTAACATGTTTTAGCAATGTATGGCGGTGTAAGTAAAACAAAATTGGGGTGAAGTTGTGGTCGAAGTAACAAATGTGTAAAGTCACATTTGCAATTTGCAGTCTCGGATTGAAGTACAGTACTGTAATACGGTACAATTAAACGTTATTGGTTACAAATTATGCATCGAAAAGAATGTTATATTTGAATAAGGCGTTACGAAGCGTGATACGTTTATTAATTAAGTCATGGTTTAGCACACATGGGATCTATGTAGCTTGATGGTAACTTGGGCCACAATGATGTTAGAATGGCTTTTGACGTGTATTTGTTTTACGCATAAAGGATTCAAAGGTAAATTGAGTCGTCAGGTCAGTACCCCCACCAGCTAAGTTTTGACCTGCCATTGGACCACGTGGGTTGAATAGTTTGCCTTTGAGCGAGAAGCTTAATTACATGTTTTGTCCACTGTTAATAACTGGCAGAGAGCTGTGATGTGTTTAGTGGATTCCTCCACAAATCCAGCAACCCGAGTTTTATTCCCGGCCATGGCTAACAGCGGCCAGTGAACATTTGAACCCGTGCTGCCAAGGTCTCCATCCGCACACTCAGCGGCGTGGTAAAGTATGGTCAAACAACCCCCCCGTGATCGACTCGGGTGTGGAAGGCCTTGATCGAGGAGTGGCTTGACAAAGACTGTAGACTGCATCTGATTGTACAACGTACTTGGGCATTCAGTCGTGTATTTACAATGGATCAATATACCCAACTCCGTGCTGCATGGTTATGTTTAACATATCTCAGTGCTGTTCAAATGGAGCTCCTTGACCTTTAAAAATATTTAAAGAAAATGTGTTCCTCTCATAAGCCTTTAAAGCTTCTCCTTTGTTTTAAAATGTGCATGCATGTACCATATCCAAAAAATTCCATGAAACTTTGAAAATTCAGCAAGTCCCACTCATCGTTTATATTTAGCTTTTGTGATTTCCCATGCAGGTCTTAAACATGACCGCATCTATTCACGTGAATGCATGCATATTGCAAGACATGTAGCCAGTTATTTTGGACGAACCTCACATTACAATGCAAATGTACCCATGTGTGCTTGTATTTCCAGGGCCTTGTACTATGCTACAGTGAGTGGTGGTGTAGGCCCACTGGGGGCTAGCCTTTTAATCTCTAAAATCCAAGTGACATGCAAAGATAGACATGTACTGCAGTGAGATTCGAGAAATGTAGACAAAAGTTAGAGATTTGGCAAGAGTAGATGGATGGATTTTATGTTAGGTTCTTTAGAGGATTATGCTCATTCAGATTAGAATTTAGCTGATGTTTGACAAACGACTTTTTCAATGAATATAGGGCCCCCTTGGCCTGAAGCCTTTGCTTGGTTTTCTTGTGTGCAGCGCCATCATTGTTTACAAGCACTGTAAAGTGTGAAGGCAATGTTTCAAATGTCAGTGTAGAAGGAAATGTCATGGAACATAGTATATTGGCACTTCCTAAAGCTCAACCTCGACATAGGAAATAGAGCATGCCAGTTCTGTGGTGGCTGTTTCTTTACAGGAGTCTATGTTTCCAAGAGGGAACGGCCAAAGCAAGTTTACTGCAGAGTGGATGCCAAATACCTCGTGAAAAATCTCAATTCTAGGCCATATTTAAATGAAAATCTCAAATTATTTTAAAGACACGAGCATTGTGTTCATTTTTCGATTTAAAGCTTTCGTGACTGCAGGGATTAATCTTCTTGGTTCTTTCGGTAAAGTCACGTAGAAGGGAAATAATAAAAATAATAAAAAGAAAAGAACCAAGAAGATATTGTGTTAATATTAAATATATACGTATTTTTTTAAGGTGTAAAGCTAGATGAAATGGCCCAGAAAATAAAGGCAAATGTAGATGAGGACGTTCCAGATACCACAGCATAGGTTAGCACTGCCCTTCACAGTATGAACCCAGGGAAAACTTCTGGACCAGATGGGAATAACTGGATATCATCAAATCAGCAGGACCAGCTGCTGGATCAAAACTGGTTGACCTATTTACTCAATGTTTACATAAATTAAATGGCACAATTGTGTGTCATGACGCCTCAAACCTTCTCTTCAAAGAGGGAGACAAAAATGTGAAGCATACAAGACCCTTTAAATCCTCCATCATCAGCCATGATCAATTGACTGCTGGATGAAGGGCTTCCCGTCACCAGCTCTCACGAGACAGCATATACAGTGCACATATAACGTGTAACATTTCCTGGAAATAATAAAATGACAAATCCAGTCGACAAAAATTATTGTTCTACGCTAAGAGCGCCGCGTTGGATGTTGCCTGCTTAAATTTATCCTACATTCCAGGCAAAAAAAATGTTTTACCCCGCACAAAATAAAGATTGCGCACATTAATTTCAAACGAGTTTTTATCGACTTCCTTTATTTATTTCACGATGTTTGTGTTAAAACTATAGGGCTTAGACAGGACACGTGGCTGGAAGGGATAACAGATGGATGAGACTGGTGGCAATGCGAGCCAAATGAGAATATGCCTGTGAGAGAGATCGGCTCGTGCTTAGGAGTAAGATGGTTTGTGGCATCACAGGAGAGTAAAGGATGGAATAATGCTTTCATCTAGCATTGGATATATGAACCTTATGGCGGGACACCGGGGTCCCCAAATAAACGGAAGTCCAAATCGTAATGAATTTATTTATTTTTGGCGACTCCGTCCCATAAACATCGCGTCCCACCTGGCGCGGATCGTTGTTGTGTCTTAAGCGCAGCAGCGAGGACAAACGCGCAGAATAAACACAACCTTGAACCTTTGATTCGCGCATCGTGTGCAGCTCGTCGAGAGGAATTACGTCGCAACGCAGTTTATGCGAGAGCCAGGGGGGGGGGGGGGCTTATGGGACCCCCGGGATCCCACCATAAGGTTCATGTCTGATGATGATGATGATTTAGGACGTGTACTGTACATTTGTAAGCTGAATGTCCTCGCACGTTTACGTGTGAAAAAGTAAATACATTATTTGTTGATACTGTATTGCGTTGGCAGTAGTGCACACGCACACAGCGATCGATAATAACACCGCCTCTAAAAAATGAACAATACGCAATAGGTGACGTTTTGGGCAATAGTCCTTAATCAGAGCACACGGAGACTGGGTGTCAAAATTGTGTTGGGGTTTTTTTTGTTCGCCATTACGTACACGACACATTATATGAATACGAAAACAAATTGCATCGTAGTGATTGACGATGACCATGCTGCTGCTGCTGCTACTGCAGCATAATTCACAAATGACATCTGTGACAATTCCGCGTGGATGGTAACACTTGAGTCGTGTGGCCATGTGGCGGCGGCTGTCACCCACGTGGACGACTCGACAAGGCAAAAGCAAACTCGCCCCAGCAGCCACGCTGGCCGAGAGAAGCAGAATAAGCGTGCGTGGCGCTCGTGTTTTAAACATTCGCTTGCGGGAACCCATCGGGAGTTTTTCTTTAAGTTATATTCTATATATGTAAAAAAATGTATTCACGTAAAAGTTGTGATTGTTTGCAACCCTTATGCATAGCGCGGGGGGAGGGGGGGGCGACGTGCTAGGTGGATGTTATTTGCAATTGTCTGTGTGTGTCAATGAGTGTTAATGATGGCATTCAGGATATGAGAAGCGTTTGCGTCGTTGAAACATAAAACCCCCACAATCTTGAGAAAGCGAAAGAGCTCGTCGAAAGTGAAGCGAACTTAAACAGTCCAACGTCACAGCAGGCTTGCTGGGGACTGAGCTATATAGATGGGCGGATATGTGAACATTAAGAGAAAGTGACATTTACACCGAGCACATAACACCAAAAAACTCAACACATTTGTCAACAACGCCGCCTTAAAATAAATATATAGAATTGCTGACGTTTCGGTCAATGGCCCTTCTCCATGGCACAAACCACGCACAAACAGGTTGCTGGACAAAACTAAAGCACAGACTTTAAGCTCGAGAGAATGCTTTGTTGTACGTTGTGAGTAAGCAAATGTATGTCAGATTAAGAACACTTCGACGTAATGTGAATATGGTCAGATTTGCATTATGAGACCTCCTTTGCCAGTAGCAAGATATAGTAATAGGTTTTTAACCTTTTATCTGGCACCAAAACTGACACCTTTATACAAGGGATCATGTTTGCAATATCCACAACACAAGCAGTCAAAATGCAAACAAAAAAGCCTGCTTGTGTTGTGGTTATTGCAAACATGATCCCTTGTATAAAGGTGTCAGTTTTGGTGCCAGATAAAAGGGTAAAAACCTATTACTAGGGTCAGATTTGTGAATAGGTAGGGAATTTGGCTATTTAACCACGCACACACAGAGTCCACTGGGCGGTGTGGGCGGGTCTCGTGGTCAGGGTGGATATGTGACGAATATACAACTCTTGTTACGGTACACTCCCTCGTGGACAAAAGAGACACATTGGACCTTTCACTGTGCCATCGCCTCTCATTCTGCTGTCCATAAAAAGGGTGGCCGAACTCGTTTATTGCAGCGTTGTTCCATGTCAACTTTACCATGTGTACATTTTTATTGATTTGAAGCTTTAAGGATGGTTCGTATGGCAATTTTTACAGGCGACCTCGTGACAATAGTTATATTCGCCTGAATTGTTGCCCGTTAAATATGACGCTTTGCTCAGATGGTTGCCCGGAGCGTCTGCCGAGTGAACAGAAGCAATCGCACCATTAACAGCATTGCGACTTGCTGTCCGCCACATTGCTTTGTGGGAGCTGCATGGAACGTCACCGAGTTATTGGCTATCGACTTGTTGACAGCAAAATGCCAAGCCATCCATGTTCGTCCGCGTCGCCCCGGTAGTTCCAGGAATAGCAGAACGCGTGACACTGCGCAGAGTGATGGCAGTGGTGGCAATGTCGATTGGCATAGCAGCCTCTGCGGTGCGACAGGGTAGCGTGTTTGGCAATAATTTCTTTGTTTTCGACTTAAGGAATTGTAGTATTATTATTGGTCCAAGTTGGCTATGTTCTCTTCACTGGGAGATTCTGCACTTCAAAAAAACATCTGAAAGCAAATGCAAGCTGCTAACATGATTAGCACAATAATCCCACCGATGCAGTATAAAGCACAACCTCGCATATCTGACCTCCACATAGCCACCCTGATCAACGAAACCGCCCACACCCAGTGCAGTGTTGTTTGTGTATGGTGTAACCGTTATTTTCTACAGATGCTCACATATCCGACGACCTTTTCACATAGCCACCCACATGTCAGTCCCCAACGAGCCGCATATGTGATGGCGAGTTTAATGTGTAGAATTCAAGACAAGAGAATATACGGTGGTTGCTAATGACCCTACGACATTCACAATGGGAAGATGTCCTTACACCGTGAGACAGTGTTTACATTTTAATCAACCACTAGTTACGAATTGATAAAATACAACTTAGGATTTCAAAACGGCTGTTTCAAAAATCCCGAAGGGTATGTTGCAGCCAGTCTTGACCACGACAAAATTCCAGACAGAGGGGGCCCCTTGAAAAGCTTAATGTGGCTTGAAACTATGAGTGACCACATTGAGCACGGGTCTTAATGATAAAATAGCACACGGAATACAACCAGGGCGTAACATACTGTGAAAGTCTTGGGTAAAGCTGTAGGTGGCTTGGCAAGCTCAGCTGTACAAGCACAGATGACTACCGTTTGTTGTTGTCAAATATTAGCTTGGTAACTGTTTGTGGTCTGTGCTGCAGAGCTTTCCTCAACACTGAAAGCCTGCTTATTTTCATAACTTTAGTTCCAATAATCATTCTCACAGTTTATTATTTTGTGTGCATGTATTCGCACACATGAGATGTTTCAAACGGTTTTAAGTTAACCGTTTTACAAATGCCAAAAATCTCAGAATTGTTCGGCGTGTATTCGTCAGTTGACATTAACATGCCATATTGCTGAAGTTAGAATACATTTTGTAAAAATGAAATAAACATTATTAAACTTTAAAGCATAAAAAATAAGTAAGATGGTGTCACGTTTTTTTTTAATTTTCAAATGTCTTTCGTATAATACTTTAAAGCGGGATTGCATTTTTTTCTTTCAAACGTGGATTTATGTGATATTAACGTCTTGAAAATGTTATGGTCACATCAAATACATTTCTGTAACGTTTTGCTCAAGTGGTCATGTGCAACTGATGAGATGAGGACACATTCTTCACAGAGCAGTCACAATTCATGTGACTGCTCTGTGAAGAGTCTTGGGCCGCCTATAACTGAGTCACCCGGAATGGTTTGGTCATAGGCGCCAGATCTTAGAAGCTAAACCGGGTGGAACCTGGCCTTTGCTTGTGTAGTGTCTTCAAAAATGACTCGCACCGACACGTTTTAACAAGTCACCTGCTTATACTTTTTTGCACATCTTCTTGCGCCAGTTATAGGCACTCCTAAAACTATCTGTACAGTCACATATACAGGGTAGTCCCCGACTTACGATGGAGATGCTGCTGCTATACACAGGTAGTCCCCGACTTACGATGGAGATGCGTTACGACGACCCCATCGTAAGTCGAAAATATTGTAAGTCGAATATGGCCTAGCCTACCCAGGAGTCTTAAAGAATGGTGATCATTTAGCAAAAACAGAGCAATTTACAGTACCGTACTATATAAACTATATACTGTATGTATTTATTCATTACAATACTGTATTGCACAGTAAAATTTAAAGTAAAAAACAAGGTAAATTCTTAGCCTACCTATATTAACTGCAATTTCATAGAAAGTTTTTTCAGGAAAATCCTATCTGCTATCAAAAAAAAACTTTTAACATGCATTGAACGTATGTATCGTATCGTGGTAACCCTAAAATGAAATTGCTAAAGCTATGTATCATACATGCATTGAACATATCGTAACGTATATTCTACTGTACTCACCAAGATTTTGTCCGTCGTCTGCATACTTGAACGATGTTAGGTTGTTGATGGCTACATTAACTTAGTTGTCGGAAGAGGAGGATGGCGGTGATAAAGTTACAGTGTCGTACCTCGTAGCACGCTGCTGCGTTTGCTTGCCGCGCGAAATTAAAAATATTTTACAATTTTGTCATATCGCTATCGCCATCGTAAGATTGAAATATCGTAAGTCGGACCATCGTAAGTCGTGGACTACCTGTACTTAACTTCTCCCTGCTCTTATCTATTCTGCACCTCACTTATCCTGCACTCAGCAGCTTCGCACTCAGCGACTCCGCGCACAGCATGTTCGCACTCAGTACCTCCGCACTCGACGACTCCGCACACAGCGTCTCCGCACACAGCGACTCCGCACACAGCGTCTCCGCACACAGCGTCTCCGCACACGGCGTCTCCGCACACAGCAACTCCGCACACAGCGACTCCGCACACG